AAATACTTTATATTTACATGGAGGGGACCCTCTCTACAGAGGCCTCCATGTTTTTTACATTAGTCCAGACTGGACAAACTAAACACCTTTTGAGTTTTTATGACAACTGAAGCTACCACAGGTTCTTTTTCATGTTTGGAAGGAGAGGGTGAGGTGAGGGGTGTTCAGCTGCAACATGCAACTTCAACACTAGATATCACTAAATTTTACACACTGTACCTTTAACTTGGTTATTTTTTTTACAATAAATACTAATTATTGTAAAAAACGTACTAGTTACTATTATTAATTAAGAAGCAAATTAACAAAAAATATTGATGGTACTGGATAGAGACCTATCATTTAGCTTTCATTAAATAAATAAAATCCAGGTTTTGTTCTTCTTATGCAGAATGTGCTTGTTTTATTTAATTACATTTTTGTTTCCTTTTTCCTCAATTAACTTGTGTGACGCAGTTCACTGAGCTCTCTCTGCCATGACACCTCCCTCCGTCACCACATTGTTTTACTGCTCTTATTTATTTCACTTTTTTCTTGTAAATCAAGACCAAGTCTTTTACTTAGACGAAACTAAATAAGACATTTTTGATTCATATTCCTACGGAGGCTCAAAACACAAAATCATTTTAGAAAGCACATGGGCATTTCACAAAACACAACACTTAACAAAATGACATATACAGTAATTAATTACAATGACGTTCCAAACTAGGAAAAGGGAGGGACAACACTTGTTCTTTGTTATTGGAAATTCAAAATGTTGCATTGTTCCCTTTATGAACAACACATTTTGGTATTTTTGTAAACACTCCGCTTGGTTTTTCAGTTGAATCGATGACATGAATAAGGGTTTGGGAAATAGAAAATCACTTTCTGCCGTTCACTGTTTGTGATGTCATATGCAAACAACTTTGTCAAATCACAAACTGGCTTTTCCATAATTTGAAATGTTGTTGTGTTTAGACATTTAGCAGCATCGTATATATAGCTCTTTGGTAACACGTGGACATGTTTAGGTCGGATTGTCCACTACCCAGAAGGTTGGCGGTTCAATCCCCAGCTCCTCCACTCCCCAGTGTCCTTGTGCAAGACACTAAACTTTCCAACTGTGTGAATGATGTGTGACAGAAAAACATGACTAATGTGTGCGGGAATGGGTGAATGGGACTTTTGTTATAAAAAAGTGACATGTAGAAGCAGTCCATTTACTGCTGTGGTGGTTAAATAACATGAAAGCTCTCTCCTCTGCCCTGTTCTTTGTTTTGCTGATGACCTGATTTGTTCTTCAGGACCTGACAGCCATCGGTGTGACCAAACCTGGCCACAGAAAGAAGATCTCAACGGAGATTGGGAAGCTGAGTATCCCAGAGTGGCTGCCTGATTACATTCCTGTGAGAAAACTCTTCTGTTGTCTCACTCACATTTTTACGTTCACAAAATGCATGGAGTTTCTCTTGGATTTGTATGTAACACTACTAGTGTGTAACTGTGTGCCCTCATGGTCACACGTATAAATACACAACACACAGGATGATCTTGTCTTTTGTTTGTTGTGGCAGTCGGACCTGGGGGAGTGGCTGAGTGTTATTGGACTGCCTCAGTACCAGAAGAGATTGTGCGACAACGGCTATGACTCTATCACTATTGTCAAGGACATCACCTGGGAGGACCTGCAGGAGATAGGCATCACCAAACTAGGTGGGGGAGGAGACCAGATCATATTTCCTGTAGATGTTAATGGTGTGACCAAAAGATGAAAATGTTCCATTTGAGGCAGTTTTACTTTTTTACCAGCTTCACTGAAACAAACTTTACAATTCACACAACATAGGATTTGAAGCCTCTGATAGACTCTAACCTTACTAGTGTCTATCACATGTCTAAATGAATATCTTACAGATTCTTTATACACATGGCCACAGGTAGAAAGTTGTGCTTTGCATTGATGTTAATTTTTTTCATAGAAATGTTTTCCATTATCTTTGTGATGAATAGACTACGTTAAAGTGAAAACTGTGCATTCTGACAAACAACATATTCATTCAAAAAAGTTGAAAGCTTAAATTAGTAAACTCACTCACAAGGGTCCGATGAAATCCTGCAATTCCCACTTGTGGCCAAAGAGGCGGCTTTCTACCATCCATCCATCCCACAGCCTTGGGGGCTACGCCCATTATTTTTGTGTGATTCTGTAGCCAATTCAAAAAAATGTGGGGCGAGAGACAGGGTACACACTGAGCAGGTCCCCAGACCATCACATTTTTATTCACAATCACATTCAGGCATCTACTTCCAATTTATTTGCAAATTAAGCTGTGGCTGTGGAGGAAGTTTAAAATCCCATGCAGACGCGTAAAGAACATGCAAATAGTAAGGCACTGCAGGCCCACAGGTTAGCAGAGCCTTCTTGCTGCTAGGTGCTATCCGCTGACCAACCATGTGTTAACTACTATTTAGCAATAACTACATAAATCTGACTTGTATGCTCTTAATGCTTTAATGTCTTCTGCTTGTTTCAGGTCATCAGAAGAAGCTCATGTTGGCAGTGAAGAGACTGTCTGACCTTCAGCGCTCTCGTAACCATGCTGACAGAACCGGTGGTGGCACTCTCAGACGGAAGCCCCCTGCCGCTCTGGAGCTGGTGGCTATCGAACACCCTCCAATGCACAACGTGCATGCTCACGCACACTCTGATGCCCCGTCTGACACTTGCTGCTCCTCCCCTCGCACCCCCAGGGCCCTCCTCTCCTTCCAGGACAGCGAGTTGAGCACTGAGCTGCAGAACGCTATGATGGGCAGGGCGGGTGGAGGAGCCGCAGAAGCGTTCGGCATCAGGGGTGTGACCTCCGCAGCAGCCATGACGGCCATGTCAGTGAGTCAGGAGAGCATTAGTATGCGGTCACGTGGCTCAGGAAATTCTGGGAATTCTGGGAACTCTGGGAATTCTGGGACTTCTGGACATTCTCATGAGCACCAGGCAGCACCGTCCTCAGCCAGAACAGCTAGTCGGTCTGAGGAGAGTCTTGAGAGTGGAGGAGGCGGGGAGGCCAAGCGAGGAGGAAGTAGTCCTGGAAGCAGAGGTAGACAGAGACCCACAGAGATGTGGGAGCACCAGAGTCGGTCTGTGACTCCCAACAAACTCCCCTTCTCACCCCTCACACCTCCGCTAACCCCTAGCAAAATGCCTCGCTTTGCCTACCCAGCTGTTCCACCCAAGGCCAAACACGTCCAGTCTAACCGCCTCTATCAGCCCCAGCACCAGCCGTCATCCTCACCATCCTCTCCATCTCCACAGCCTTCCCCCACACAAAAAGCCTTCAGTTACCTCCAGGCTCTGGCAGGAGGCGTCAGAACGGCTCCACAGGGGCTCTCAAAGCCTCTCCCTGGGGCCGTCCCCGTGTTGGGGCCCAGGCCTGGACAGGTCCAAGCTGAAGGCACCCAGAGGGGCCTGCACAAGAAACGCGCCCAAAGCCTAACACGCTACGCCCTGTCCGATGGCGAGCCAGATGAAGACGACGACCTCCCTCCATCTTGCCCCGCTGCTAACTCTGCAGCCATGCCTTCCTACGCCACATTGTCCCGCAGGCCAGGACGCGGGCACACCAGCACAACTGGGGCCCAACGGCACATCAACCGCAGCCATTCTTTCGCCGTGCGCTCCCGACGCAAGGGCCCACCCCCGCCGCCACCTAAGAGGATGAGCTCGGTAAGCGTCAGCCCGCCATGCCAACCAGGAAACTGGAAAGCAGTGGAGCCAGAGGTGAAGGGAGGCGTGGAGATTGAGAGCGTTGGCAGCGTGAGGAGCATCGCAGCCAGGCTAGAAGGAAGCAGCAGCAGCAGCAGCAGTCCATCGAGGAGGATAGATATTCCACCGACCCACATCCCCGTCTCTCCTGTTTTCAGCCCTGTTTCCTCTCCGATTCCTTCTCACATCATCCTACAGCAACCAAAACCTGTCCCCGCCTTGGGCCTAAGTGGCTTAAGGAGGACAGGAAGTGAGAGGAGAGAAGGAGACGCTGACAGACAAAGGAGCAGAACTACAGAGGGAACTACTGAAGAGGAAGAAAGAGAAAGAACATGCGAAAGGATATCAAACAGTGCTACTGCGTCTCCACAACGCAGCTCATGTGACCATCTGCCTTTCGCTGAGGAGGGGAACCTGACCATCAAACAGCGACCCAGGATGACACTTGTCACCCACGCAGATGCTGATCTTAAGACTCCTTTTGAGGACCCACTCCAGAACCCAAACAGTCTGGAGGTCCCCGAGTTCAACCTGAAGGAGTCTGACACGGTGAAAAGACGGCACAAACATAAGGACAGAGATGCATCCACGCCAGAGGAAGCTTCCACGCCCAACAGAGATGACGTGAGGACATTTAGCGACGAAGAACCTCAGAGAAACGTTTTCCAGAGAGTTGGCTCGGTGGGAAAAGGCCCGAAGCCTCCGGTGTTTTCGAAACCTTCCAGTCCTCTGAAACAACCCGTTAACAGCAGACCAACAACCCCACAGACAGCAGCCTCTCCACTACGAGCCAGCGCACAAACAGCCATTCCTAAACTAACCAGCATACAGGTTCATACGGTCTCACCGAAGCTGGGTGGCAGCATTCACACACACACCTCTATACCCAGTCCTAAAGCTGGGAAACCTTCTCAGACGATGGTGTCCAAGCCTGAGAGTCCACAGAAAGCTGCTGGTGTGTGTGCATCTCCTCTAAGACTCCCTCAGCCCAGCAGGGCCTCGCCATCATCAGCGGGTAACACTGACCACTAATACAATGTCCAGAAAGGTTCCCTTATCTCACTAAAAAAATCTAACATCATCTCTTCATGTCCCACAGCACCGAACTACAGCATAGTCCAGAGTGTCGTGTTCACCGCTCCGTCCTCCCCCTCGCACTCCGCCTCGGCACTACACGGCCTGACTGGGAGAGCAGGAGCGGCTCAGCCCGGCGTGGCAGGTCTGGAGCTGCTGGCTCAGAAGAGGCTGGAGCAGACCAGCACGTCACTGGAGGCTGCTCTCAAAGTGGTGGAGAACAAACTGGCACAGGGGAGCGGTGTGGACAGGTACACACTCCTGATCTTCACACACACACACACAGGTAGATAGGGTGGTGGCCTGCTTTACAGAAGCCACTGGAAATGTGAAAGTGAAGAGTAACTATAGGTTGTTATGCAGGTACAGGTGTCTTTAAGTATAGCAGTGATGCTTCCCTCTGTTCACGGGCACATTTGAATAAGTGTTGACATCTGACGTTCTCATGCAAGAGACTGGACGAGAGAGAAGCGTAAAACTACTGATGTATTTCTTCATACTATATTTATCATTCTAATCACTTGGACTTTTGGGGGCTGATGGCTACAACAAATACATTTCCTCTTCTGATATATCAGCTGATATGTATTAAAAGAATAGGCAACTATGTCGTTTTTACAGTTTAACCACATAGTTGACGTCAATAACTTGCTATAGGACCGTTTGACTTGACGTTCTGCATCTTTAACAGTGTCCTGTCTCTTCCCTCAGCGGCAGCGGCAGCGTGAAGGCAGCAGGAAATATCCTGGACGACATCAGCAACATGTTTGACGACCTGGCCGACCAGCTGGACGCCATGTTGGAGTGACTTCACGGCTTCTTTTCTCAAAGGGAGAAGGCAGAGAAAAAGAGAGAACAGAGAAAGTGGAGCTCAGAGCCGCTGCAGGACGAATCATTAAAGTGCACATGTGAGGATTCCCCCCCCCCTCCCCACCCCGACTTTTTTTTTTCTCAACGCGAGCACTTCGCCCGAGGACACACACCTGGGAATGTTACCGGACAGCGGCTGCAGCATCAGCCTCCGGACGAGTGTGTGTGTATGTTCAGCACATTATCACTAAAAGGAATGAGGGTCCATTTTATTCACGTCACCTGTAAATATATAGATACATCTATGGTGGCACTGTGTATGTGTGTAGTCAGATATCTTTATACTGAATATATTTATACTTCTAAATGTTTGTTTTTTAACAAATGGAGTTCCTATTGACTGATCCACTGTTTAAACCACTGGTGTATATTAGAATTGTTAAATACACTGGGGTCCAAAAGTTTGAGACCACTTTTCCATTGTTACTCATTGTCAATAAGATGGAAAAATTCTGTTTATCGTGGTAAAAGCAATATATTCCATATATGTATGTAGCAGATATGTTTTTACCAAAGTCTGGGATCCTCTGCTGCCGGCACATTAAGATGCTTCTGTGTGAGGAGGCGTCACTTCTTCAAAGCTCTGCTTCTTCCAGTGGTGATTTAGGGTCCGTGGAGCTCAGCCCACCCCCCTATAGTTTGCCTTGGGGTGCTGCGGAGGTGAACTTACTGTAAATGTGCTGTTTCCAAAGAACGGGAGATTCTCTCGAACACTTTCAGGGAAGGTCAACATCCTGAACGAACATGTTCACTTTTCAAACATGACTCAACACTTTCAAAGACGGAGCATCTATAGAGGAGCTGAGTATGCAGTGGGTCATGTACCACCAGAATATGTAAAGTCCACTTT